TAGTAAAGAAAACCATTAGCACAACAAAAAGACAACCTACCAAATGGGAGAAAACATTTGCAAATGATATGACCAATAACGAGGTAATATCCAAATATATAAACAGCTCATACAATTCAACAGCAAAAAAAAAAAAAAAAAACCTGATTAAACAACAGGGAGAACGGCTTCCCTGGTGGCACAGTGGTTGAGAATCTGCCTGCTAATACAGGGGACACGGGTTTGAGCCCTGGTCTGGGAGGATCCCACATGCCGCGGAGCAACTAGGCCCGTGAGCTACAACTACTGAGCCTGCGCGTCTGGAGCCTGTGCTCCCCAACAAGAGAGGCCGTGATAGTGAGAGGCCCACGCACCACAATGAAGAGTGGCCCCCACTTGCCACAACTAGAGAAAGCCCTCGCACAGAAACGAAGACCCAACACAGCAAAAATAAATTAATTACTTAATAAACTCCTACCCACAACATCTTCTTTAAAAAAAAAAAAAAGGCAGAAGACCTGAATAGATGTTTTTCCAAAGAAGACACAGGATGGCCAATAGGCATGTGAAAAGATGCTCAACACTGTTAATCAGAGAAATGGAAATTAAATCCACATTGAAATATCACCTCACACCTGTCAGAATGGCTATCATTGAAAAGAACAGAAATAACAAATGCTGGAAAGGATGTGGAGAAAAGGGAACCATCCTACAATGTTGGTGGGAATGTAAATAGGTGCAGCCACTACGGAAAACAAAATGGGGATTTCTCAAAAAACTAAAAACAGAACTACTATATGACGTAGCAATTTCACTCCTGCGTATTTATCCAAAAAAAAACCAAAACCACTAATTCAAAAAGATACATGCACCCCAATGTTCATAGCAGCATTATTTACAGTTGCCAAGCAACCTAAGTATCCAACAACAGATGAATGGATAAAGAAAATGTGGTGTATATATATATATATACACACACACACAATGGAATACTACTTAGCCATAAAAAAGAATGATTTTGCGATTTACAACAACATGAATGGACTTGGAGGGTATCATGCCAAGTGAAATAAGTCAGACAGAAAGACAAATACTGTATCATATCACTTATATGTGGAATCTAAGAAATAAAACTAGTGAATATAACAAAAACTAAACTGACTCACAGATATAGAGAACAAACTAGGGGTTACCAGTGGGGAGAGGTAAGCAGGGAGGGGCGATATAGGGGTAGGGGATTAAAAAGTACAACCTAGTATGTAAAATGTGAATAAGATACAAGGATATAGTGTACAGCACAGGGAATATAGCCAATATTTTATAATAACTATAAATGAATACAACCTTTAAAACTTGTGAATCACTTTGTTGTACACCTGAAGTTTACATAATATTTTATATCAACTATACCTCAATAAAAAATAAATTTAAAAAATTATAATGGCATTTACATTACACTAAAATTGTAATAAGTAAATAAATAGATACCATTTACACCAGCAATAAAATCTATGAGGTACAGGAATAAATAAGAAATGATATTCAAAACCTATACAAAAACTATAAAATTTTATTGGAAATGAATATAAAATATTATGTAAATAAATTGAAGGTAGCCAATGTACATGGATAGAAACAATGAAAATAGAAAATATGCCAATTTTCTCAAAATTAAACTAGCAATATAATGCAATTCCAATAAAAAGTCCAATGGACCTTTTAGAATCTGACAAGTTGATCCTAAAATTAACATGATAAAACAAAGGGCTTAGACTGGCCAGAGCACTACTAAAATGAGGAATAAGGCATGTGTATGGCATCAGAGATGGGAGGACTTCCTATAAAGCTATGTAACTGAGATAGTATGGAGGATGATATTAGTGAAAATGCAGACTAAGAACTTCCGAAAATACTCTACTCCATAAAAACAACAAGGAAACCGATAAAACGTCAGAAGAAACTTTTTCGAAACTCTGGAAATTAACCAAAGACCTGCAGCAATCTGGGGAGTATTTAAAAAGAAAAAAACAGCAGGAGAGAAGCAAGGAGAATTACAATACTGCAGTCTGTGGAACAAAAACCACATTCACAGGAACACAGACAAGATGAAAAGGGAGAGGGCTATGTACCAGATGAAGGAACAAGATAAAACCCCAGAAAAACAACTAAATGAAGTGGAGATAGGAAACCTTGCAGAAAAAGAATTCAGAATAATGAAGATGATCCAGGACCTCGGAAAAAGAATGGAGGCAAAGATCGAGAAGATGCAAGAAATGTTTAACAAAGACCTAGAAGAATTAAATAACAAACACCTAGAGGAATTAAAGAACAAATAAACAGAGATGAACAATACAATAACTGAAATGAATAATACACTAGAAGGAATCAATAGCAGAATAACTGAGGCAGAAGAATGGATAAGTGACCTGAAGACAGAATAGTGGAATTCACTACCACGGAACAGAATAAAGAAAAAAGGAATGAAAAGAAATGAAGACAGCCTAAGAGACCTCTGGGACAACATTAAACGCAACAACATTAGCATTATAGGGGTCCCAGAAGGAAGAGAGAGAGAGAAAGGACCCAAGAAAATATTTGAAGAGATTATAGTCAAAAACTTCCCTAACATGGGAAAGGAAATAGCCACCCAAGTCCAGGAAGTGCAGAGAGTCCCAGGCAGGATAAACCCAAGGAGAAACATGCCGAGACACATAGTAATCAAACTGACAAAAATTAAAGACAAAGAAAAATTATTGAAAGCAACAAGGGAAAAATGACAACATACAAGGGAACTCCCAGAAGGTTAACAGCTGATTTCTCAGCAGAAACTCTACAAGCCAGAAGGGAGTGGCATGATATATTTAAAGTGATGAAAGGGAAGAACCTACAACCGAGAGTACTCTACCCAGAGTCTCATTCAAAGAGGATCTCATTCAGATTTGATGGATCTCATTCAGATTCGATGGAGAAATTAAAACCTCTACAGACAAGCAAAAGCTAAGAGAATTCAGCACCACCAAACCAGCTCTACAGCAAATGCTAAAGGAACTTCTCTAAGTGGGAAACACAAGAGAAGAAAAGGACCTACAAAACCAAACCCAAAACAATTAAGAAAATGGTCACAGGAACATACATTATCGATAATTACCTTAAATGTGAACGGATTAAATGCTCCAACCAAAAGACACAGGCTCGCTGAATGGATACAAAAACAAGACCCATATATATGCTGTCTACAAGAGACCCACTTCAGACCTAGGGACACATGCAGATTGAAAGTGAGGGGATGGAAAAAGATATTCCATGCAAATGGAAATCAAAAGAAAGCTGGAGCAGCAATACTCATATCAGATAAAATAGACTTTAAAATAAAGAATGTTACAGGAGACAAGGGCGGGCACTACATAATGATCAGGGGATCAATCCAGAAAGAAGATATAACAATTATAAATATATATGCACCCAACATAGGAGCACCTCAATACATAAGGCAACTGCTAACAGCTATAAAAGAGGAAATCAACAGTAACACAATAATAGTGGAGGACTTTAACACCTCACTTACACCAATGGACAGATCATCCAAACAGAAGATTAATAAGGAAACACAAGCTTTATATGACACAACAGACCAGCTAGATTTAATTGATATTTATAGGACATTCCATCCAAAAACAGCAGATTACACTTGCTTCTCAAGTGCACATGGAACATTCTACAGGACAGATCACATCTTGGGTCACAAATCAAGCCTCAGTAAATTTAAGAAAATTGAAATCATATCAAGCATCTTTTCTGACCACAATGCTATGAGATTAGAAATCAATTACAGGGAAAAAAAGGTAGAAAACACAAACACATGGAGGGTAAACAATACGTTATTAAATAACCAAGAGATCACTGAAGAAATCAAAGAGGAAATCAAAAAATACCTAGAGACAAATAACAATGAAAACATGACTATCCAAAACCTATGGGATGCAGCAAAAGCAGTTCTAAGAGGGAAGTTTATAGCAATACAAGCCTACCTCAAGAAACAAGAAAAATCTCAAATAAACAATCTAACCTTACACTTATAGGAACTAGAGAAAGAAGAACAAACAAAACCCAAAGTTAGCAGAAGGAAAGAAATCATAAAGACCAGAGCAGAAGTAAATGAAATAGAAACAAAGAAAACCACAGCAAAGTTCAATAAAACTAAAAGCTGGTTCTTTTAAAAAAAACAAAAAAAAATGGCAGGAACTTGATTAAAAACAGCAAGTTTTGTGTCATTTTAACTTTCCTATTCCCATCCCCTCCTCTCCAGCATAGCAGAAGCCTAAAAACCAACAGCCTGCAATCATGGTAAAAACCATCAGCTTGGTATCCACTGGAGAAGGCAAATGGGGCTGGAACTCCTTCAAAACCTCATTACTGGAGAACTGTCATTTTTTGACTTGTCAGGTGGTTCCTGGGAAGACTCCACGTACAATGTCTTTATTTGACCAGACTCTAAGCTTACCCAGTGAAAAAAGTCTTTTCTCAGGGAGCATTTGTGAAAAACAATTAGAGGCCAGTGATCAACATCATAGCTGCCTGTGGCAGCAGATACTAGTAGACACAAAGGATAGGCCAACCAAACACTTAAAGGAAAATCTGGGGAATAAGATGTCCATAAGGGCTTTGAAAGGCACTAACATATATCTGGGAATTTAGAAGGCCCCATGCATGTGCAATAATGTGTGCATGCTTGGGATGTGTGCATGCTAAGGAAAGACCTGAGAAGACCCTAAGCTCTCACCTCAGACTAACCTTTAGGCTATGCACAAGCAGGAAATGCAGGCTAAGGCAGAGTTGTCAAGCTTGAGGTGGGCCCAAATGTTAGTCATGTTCTAGTTCTTGGCTGAGTGATGATTTCACATAAGTTTGTTGTACTATGCTTTGTAACTTACATATATTCTTTTGTTAAGTATCAAATACATTTTTAAAAGGAGATGAAAAACATCTTTACATTAAACAAATCTTAAAGATGAAACTCATACCTTCAACTATGCTGGACTTAGCAAGAAATCCTGAAGATGCTTTTAGAGCTCCATTGAATACCACAAAACTTGCACCTGTCACTAATTAAAAAATACAATAATTATGTTTTAAACTGCTCTTTTTATGCTATATGATATTTGTTAAATGCATAATGTGGAGCATAGCATATTTTAAGTACCTGATAAACGCCATGCCCATACCACTTATATTAGAACAAAAAATACCAAACAAAATAAAGTTACGATAAAATATTTCATAAAGGTTATTTAATGTTTGTATCTAATAATTGATGGCTGTTGTACTATTTACAGTGTTTTTATCAAGTGAGGGTGTGGAAAATCAAACATCCACTACTGTTGAGAGCATAAATCAGAACAATCTCTATGGAGGACAACTTGATAAATTGCTATTAAAATTACAAACACATTTATACTTTGACATACAAATTCCATTTCTAGGAATTAATGTTGGCACATATACAAGGTTATTCATAGTGCATTTTTATAAACAGCCAAGGATTGGTAGCAACAGTCCATTAATAAGGGACAATTAAATGATGTTCACATATAAAGTGGAAAGTTATGTGCAATGTGAAAGTTCTTTATATACTAACAAAGAATAATCTCCAAAAGAAAAAACAAGGTGCAGAATGGAACAAATGTTATGACTTGTTTAAAAAAGTGGAAGAAAGGTGTATGTGTGTGTATGTGTGTGGTGGGGTGGTGTTTGCTTACATATACATACAAGCAAGAAATCCCTGAAAGGATATACCAGAAACTGATATCACTGGTTTGGTTGCCTGTGGGGAGGGGAAGAGGGTAGTTTGAGGGTCTAGGGAGGAAAGGAGATTTTACAGTGTGAATATTTATACCTTTTGAATTTTATACTATGTAAATATTCATCAAATAAATATTAAATAGCTGTAAAATTTTAATGACAAAAATGTCAATAGCATGTTAAGTTAAAAAAGCACAATATAAAAGTAAATATCCAGTATAAAATCATCTATTTAACATATATATCTATATAAGAAGGAAATATATTAAAATGTCAACAAAGGCCATATTTTGGCACTTTTTTCCTTTTACTACTTCTTCAAACATATTTTCCAAGCTTATTACAAATGAGCATACATACTTTTATAATCAGAGGAAAAATTTTTATTAGCAGCCAGAATGTCTGACTATTTTAAATGTGTTATTTTACAATAATGTATTAAGTTTTTGGAATACTTACTTAACTTTCAATTTGTTAGGCTCTCTAATGCAAGGATTTGGTAATCACAGCAGTAACTGAGGCCATTCAGCCGAGTGATGTCATTCACATCACCATCTTTATCATTTTTATATTCCCAGCTACTTAACAGTTTTATAAATCATTCTTCATCCTTATCTACCCTGTGCTCCCCGCTAAGAGGAGTTGGAGCAGAGAGCAAACAAAGGCAAAAAATACCTCACTCCAGAGACACCCACCATATGGGACACACTAAGCCTGAAGACATCAAAATAAATACTGTATTCCAAGTTTTTAAACCTAATGTTGCCCAAGATAAACACAAATATTAGAAGCAGTGTTTTTGTTTGTATAGCTAAAAATTTAAAGCATACTGTTTCATCACCATCAATTCAGCAAATAAGTAAGATATCTACATATAGGTATATTCCTCTTTGAAAGGAATTCTACTTTTTGAGATGGTTTTATGGATTGACACTAGGAACCAATACTCACCTTTTCTAGGATGGCCAGTAGCACTGTTGGCCTGTGTTTGATAAACTCCATCATTCTGTATACAGACTAGATGAGAATCTGCTTCTGTACTAAAACTAGCTCCAATGCTAATGACATGCTCATTAGAAGAATTTATTACTTTCATTACCTGGGAAAAAACAATACGCATTTAGAAACATTTTTAACATTTTGTGCCTTTATTAGTTATAATAATTCAAGAGTCCCATTTCTGACCACCTTTATCAAGCTTTAATCTGAACAACTCCCTGAGAATGTGATAGAAACTAATGATTTAAAATAAAATCACCTCAATTAAAAGACAGATAAAAGAGTAAGAAAAAAATGAAAAAATAGGATTAAACAAATCCTCTGTTAGGAAACAAATCTAAAATTTCAAAAGTAAGTGTTTTTTTGGGTTTTTTTGCGGTACGCGGGCCTCTCACTGTTGTGGCCTCTCGGGTTGCGGAGCACAGGCTCCAGATGTGCAGGCTCAGTGGCTATGGCTCACGGGCCTAGCCGCTCCGCGGCACGTGGGATCCTCCCGGACCGGGGCACGAACCCGTGTCCCCTGCATCGGCAGGTGGACTCTCAACCACTGCGCCACCAGGGAAGCCCCAAAATAAGTTTTTTTGTCATTATGTATTAGTCCAATTCAAAACAAATTTAACACACTTCTAAAGAAATCTAATGTTCAATAATTATCTCAAGACTTGAATAAAGCAATTATACTTACATCATTGTATTTTTTCCGAGGTATTTTTATGCAGCTTTTCCCCATTTCCATATGAATCAGTAGCTGATCTATATTATGCAAGGTATACTGGTAATTTCGAAGGTCCTACATAAAATAACGATAGTTCCATAAACCTTAAACTACTATCCATGAACATTTACCCATTCATTCAATCCTTTTTTAAGAGTATCCATCATTTTAAAACTTGTGATACATAACTATCAAAACACCATCCAGAAAGCAATAGCAACTTCAAAAACCAGCTAATTCTTCCAGCTACTCCACAATAATAATAAAGATTATCATTCTCAGGAAGAATTCTATAGTATTTGAGGGTGATCTCTTTCTAGTTACAGATCTTCCAAAACAATAGATTTTCAAACCGAACATGGATAAATAAAAGCAAGTTGGGCTTCCCTGGTGGCGCAGTGGTTGAGAATCTGCCTACCAATAGAGGGGACACAGATTCGAGCCCTGGTCTGGGAAGATCCCACATGCCGCGGAGCAACTAAGCCCATGCGCCACAACTACTGAGCCTGCTCTCTAGAGCCTGCGAGCCACAACTACTGAGCCCACGTGCTGCAACTACTGAAGCCTGCATGCCTAGAGCCCGTGCTCCGCAACAGGAGAAGCCCCCGCAATGAGAAGCCCGCGCACCGCAACGAAGAGGAGCCCCCGCTCGCTGCAACTAGAGAAAGCCCACGTGCAGCAACGAAGACTCAATGCAGCCAAAAATAAAATTAATTAATTAAAAGAAAAAAAAGCAAGTCCACTGAAATACACTTCTATAATAAGAGGTAAACACAAAATTACAGAAATTAGAGGTGGAAGGGAACCTGAGATCATCTAATCCAATACTTCCTATTAAAAATGAGGTGACTTGGGCCACAGTTTGCTCAAAATCATCAAATCGATTGACTTTACTAACTCTTTTACTAAGGCTTCAACAACTGTGTGGATCTCACATTACCTAAATGTGTAAGCACTGCAGCAGAATGAATCAAAAGGCAATTTGAATCAGGTATACATAAATTAGGACGTGTTCTAAAAAGCACTTCATCAAAAACAGAGGCCATTTATGTTAAATGAATTAGGATTTATTATAAATGAACTTTCATTATACCAAATATGTCAAATTAAAATAGAAAAATATAAGTATGTAAAATTTGCTTAATGAATTGTTAAAGTAACAATATAAGAACACTTAATAAAACAGTTCAATTACTCACAACAAGTAAGTTCATAATAGTGTGTCCTATTTCTCCAAAAAGAGGTTTTCGGCCTCTGATACTTGTTAAAGGAGCAGGATATGCTATACACAAGAATAGAAAACTGGTTACCATCAACAAAAAACAAAAAAATCTTAAATTTATTACCTTTAATTTTCATTTGTCAAACATTACGGATAAATACCACTCAATCAGTTCTCTGGAGAAAGTAAGAAATGACGTTAACCCATACCATGTATCTACCAGATGCTACATTGAACTGGGACCTTTACATACATTATCCTAATTAAACCCTATAACAACCCAACGAGGCAAGTATGTCTATCCCTACTTTACAAATGGGGAAGTAGAGACACAGATTAATAACCCTGCCTATGGTTTCTAAGTTAATAACTGGTGAAACAGATATGAAACTAGGCTTGGCCTGATTCCAAAGCATTTAATCTTTCATCATACATGTTGTTTCCAAACATTATGATGGCTAGAAAATTACCATAACTGGCTAGACCTACGTAAAGTTCTCATAATTTAAAAAGAAATATTCTGATAATTTAAAGCAAAATATGAAGAATTCAAGATTTTTAAGGCATTTGTAATTAATGTTCAATTGTGTGAATTTATGGGTGATAGTAAACTTTTATAGTTCTTGGGTCAGCATGATAAAAGGAACACATAGAATCAGAGAAGTCAATGCAGAGAAGAAGTGATATGGACTCTGTCACCTAACTACTTTTCTGTTTCTTTAGGACACTATAAATATTGCGCACCAAAAAGGAAAAGTACCTTGGTGGCAATGCAGCAGGAATTCTGGAAGAAAAGGAAAGTGAAAAAAGGAAGGTAAGACTATTTCTATGATGATAAAAATCAGACACATTTTTAACCCAAGAATTAACCTGAGAATTTCAGTTCTCAGCTTAGGTTAAGCAAAGAAACCTCTCTAATACATATTATACAAACATACCTCCTTAAAAGTCTAAGAAAACACACATGACATTATCTATTTAAAAAAAATAAGTCAGGGCAACTCACATCTTTGCTATTACAAGCATATATTTTAGTTTTAAAAAGGACAACTAAGTTATTTGGATGACAGAGAGTACAGAAAGAAACATAAATTAGTGGTAAAACATATTAAAATGATAAACAATATGATTAAGGTAAATGCTGACTTTTTACTTCATCTTTTATGAATAAGAGAGCATCCTTTGCAACTTGATAGAGGTAATTTTATCTAAAACAGTAATTTTCAAGAGGTTATGGCTTAGAATGACATTCTGTCAGAGTTACAAACGGACCTCATAAATCATCTAATCCAACATGTAATGGTGTTGCAAATAGTCTCAACATAGAAGCGTAGGTAATCCTCATTTGATTAAGATTAGCTAAGTATTTTGATCTAACCTTCCATAAAAATAGCATTCAAATATTAGTATCAGAGACAAAACGTTAGGCTGAATGGATGCAACACTTGGCTCAGAATGAAGTCTCTTAAGCTCTTTGGTTCACACAGTACAAAACCTGAGATGAAAGTTAATTTTTACTTCTTGCACCACAATTTAATAGTATCCCATATTTAAATCTTAAATGGTAAGGACCAACCCCTCAGAACACAGAGTTTAATAAATTTGCCAAATAGATTTAAATGAATATCTCTTTCACTGAATTTGTCCATTTTGAAATAGTAATGGTAACTTTTATAACTTCTCTACATTTAATTTTCCTCCAAGAAAGTAACTATTAAATTATACAAGAATCAAATGCCTAAATTTTCCTTAGATGTGATGTACTTCACATGCAACAAATAAATTATTCTTTAAAAAAGTGAGGGATAAAGAAAGGGTACGAATTCAAAGACAGTTGAACACAGAAATGATTTCAACTCAGAAATAACCATACACATAAGACTGGACCACTATTTCACAACCATTTATGTTTGGCTTTATGGTGTACACAAATGGGGTGGGGGGGCATTTACCTTCTTAATATGTAGGCAACATAACAAAATGAACTCCCTATAGCAAATACTTTTAAGAAAACTTTTGAAGGTTTTCTATGTTTTTTTCTGAAATTCAAAAAAAAATTTTAAGGTAAGTTAATTATAATAATTATGAATATCTAGAAACTCAGGACATAGCAAGTTTGTCTAGACTAATTTGGTAGTAGAGGAGGGCTGTTTTAGAATTTTAAAAGTACATCAAAACAAAAGTAGTCCCATTAATCCATTAAAAATTTATTTTAATGATATCTGAAGTTCTTATTTACATTCAGTATATTTGAACCTATGTAATTTAGCTTATTATTCTAAAACTTACCTTTATATTCTGCACCCAATCTCAACATTAAACGCATAGGAAAAACCTTTGCCCAGGGAATCTCTAGCTTCTGGATAAGAATTCCACAAAGAAAAGGATTGCTTGGTAACAGGAGATCATCAAGTTTCTGAAAAGTAGGTGTAATAAATAGAAATCCTCCATGATCCTTGCTGCTGAGAAAACTCTCAGTAAAGGTAATACTGTCCAAGTTTTCTATGTATTTTCCTAGAAATAAAATCATTTATAAAAAGATTTTAAGTTGTTTTGAAGCAGCATTATGAGTTTGAATGTTCCAGTATAAACTTAAATAAAAGCACTGTAAAATATTTTTTATTTATTTCCACTCTTGAAGAAGCACTGAATACCTTGTGTGCACAAAGTTCAGTTATTCCTGAAGATTGGGAATTGTGAACAAAAATTTGAGAATGTTTCTAACCGTTAAGTGTTTTAAAATTTTTCTCCTTACTTCATGGTCAAGTGAAAAGTCATCATCATGTCCCCCAAATCTTATACAGACAGAAAAGTATACGGTGGTCCCCCCTTATCCACAGTTTTGCTTTCCATGGTTTTAGTTACCCCTGGTCAACTGTAGTTCAAAAATATTAAATGGAAAATTCAATAAACAGCAAATTTTAAATCTCTCGCTATCCTGCTCTGCCCCATTGGGATGTGAGCCACACCGTGAATCACTTGTCCAGCATATCCACGCTGTATATGCTACCATCCATTAGTCACTCAGTAGCTGTCTCAGTTATGATCGACTGTTGCAGTTATCACTATGCTTGTGTTCATGTAACCCTTATTTTTCTTAATAATGGCCCCAAGGTGCAAGAGAAGTGTTGTTGGCAATTCGGATGTTCTCGTACTGTGCCTAATTTATAAATTAAGCTTTATCACGGGTATGTATGTATAGAAAAAACAGTGTACATAGGGTTCAGTACCATTTGTGGTTTCAGGCAGCTAGTGGGGTCTTCGAACTTATCCCCCGCAGATAAGGGGGGATTATTTTGTAGACACGTAAACAGACCAAGAAGGTAAATATATTTTCACTTTTAAAATTAAAAAACTATAAAGACACTAATTACATAAAATGCTAAATTTAAGGAGACTGAAAATGATGACAGAGCTCTTTTAAGTAATCAGCAATCTCTTCACAAAATATTTCTTTAGTACAGTTAGCATAGCCAAAAGCAAAAATGCCCTTAATTTATCCATCCCCTGGTCTGAACAGTTCAAAATAAAATGGTATACCTTTCACAGCATCCTTATAAATGGTGATAAAGAGTCTGAAGATGTCCTTAGGAATAGTATCTTCACTTGGCAAACATAACAATAGAATAATAATTTCTGCCTGTCCCAAGCCGTGCAATCCATTGGTTGAGAAGTACCAATATTTGTCTGAGGAATCTTAAGTGACAAAAGTGTACAACTATAAATGTCAACTTCTATTAAACAAAAAAATTAAATATAATTGTCCTTTGCATGAAGCACAACTTTTTAAACTCCTTAGTTTTCCAACATTCCCCTCACAAAAACTTTAAATTGAATTGTATGAGATTAATATAAAAAAGAGAAAGGACGAAAAATTATCTGATGGAGTCAATTAATAAACAACAATAGGGCTTCCCTGGTGGCACAGTGGTTGAGAGTCCGCCTGCCGATGCAGGGGACACAGGTTCATGCCCCGGTCCGGGAAGATCCCACATGCCGCGGAGCGGCTGGGCCCGTGAGCCATGGCCGCTGAGCCTGCGCATCCGGAGCCTGTGCTCCGCAACGGGAGAGGCCACAACAGTGAGAGGCCCGCATACCGCAAAAAATAAAATAAAAAATAAATAAACAACAATAAAATAAAAGATGCACTAACAAGCTGAAATGTAGTGGGTAAGAATCAGGTTAGTTTCAAAGAGAATGAAAAGCTAAGAGATGCATTATTGAGTATTGAGGACTATTACTGAGAAATATTTACTTCCTTACTTTTAATTAAGTCTAGTGTCATTTACTTTAAAACTGTCTTTATTGTTACTAAATCAGGATTCTTGCTTATCTCAATTAGCAAATTTCAGTTTACCTAAAAGCTATATGAAATATGGTCAGCTGGAGAGATTGGGATTGACATATATATACTAAGATGTATAAAATGGATAACTAATAAGAACCTGCTGTATAAAAAAATAAATTAAATAAAATTCCAAACTTCAAAAAATATATATATATGGTCAGCTGTATCATGAGCATCAAAATACAGCTTGTTATAAGCCCATGGTCTTAACCTAGGACTGAATGAAGGACACTAGTAAAAATCTTTAAGCTATTACTTCAAGTCCCACTGCATATAAAACTGCAAAATTTATTTATATTAATATTTGGCTACAAAAACCCATATCCAATACTGCTTATTTTGCACCATTGCCAGTCTAAATTTAACCAGACAATGGGATTAATTATTCAGAAATCCTGCTTACCAATTAGGCAAAGAAAGATGAATCATTACTTACAAAATGCTAACTTGACATTCACAAGTAGATTAGCATTTAGGACAAACGTAACAGGACAAAAACCTTCGCCTTCAAGAAGCAAAATGATCTGCTCGTGAGATGGGTGTTCTTCTATTACAGGCACTAAAACATGAAAATAATATATTAATTAGAATAAACATGTCTTCCTGTTAAATATGCCTATAATGAAAAAAACAGATTTATAAATCCACCAATGGCTTAATCACATTTAAAAGCAAAAGCAAACACGTTTATAAAATCAATCAACACCTGGACAACTGTTATATTCTAATTTTTACTTTTCAATTTATGTAAAGATATTAATATTATAATACATATAAATCCTGATCAATTATATTATATATAGTCTATGCACAAATATGTTGATTAAACAGCATATTGATACAATTTTAGTACCTTTAAAGTTTTAAAACAAATGTTTTTGTAAAGTGGACTCCTATCTGCCAGCCACTCCAATTATAAATTCTGAAATTTACAGCTGTGAAAGTAGTCTAGACCCAAGTTATACATGCTTGTACATATGGCTTGCTGCCATATGCCTTATGTCAGTGACAAGTGGTGAAAAAAGAACTTGACAACCAACAGGAAAATATACATGGCATGCAAAGAACAGGGCTTAAGATATTTTTGCCACTATCAATAGGATCATGAAATGGCTCCAACTTTCAGAACGGAGATCCTAGGCTTCATTCCCCTACATTATCATGCACAGAACATAATCATTTCATGTAAGATTCAGCATAATGCCTGGGGTAACAAGGATATATCCCTAGGGAACTACTCCAAGGTGGGAGATAGCCACAGAATCTCCAGATTAGAAAGGACCTTAAAGACCACCTAAGTTCTCTTCTTTTACAAAGGAAACTGAGGCCCAAGAGATTAAATTGCATGCTTCAAGTCATACGTGTATTAAGTAGCAGATGAGGAACTAAAATTCCTAGCTTTGTCATCCAATCCAATATTCTTTTCTTTAGGCACTATGTTCCTTAAAAAAAAAATGATATGGAGTCAAAACTAATACAGGACTAAAAGTCTATGAATTTCCCTGTTGTATTGGACTTTTGCCTTATTTTAAATTAGGAACCCAGATGAGATAAGTGAATCACATTCAAATCAACTCAAAAGGTCAGATCTTTTTAGAATTTGTTTTTACACAGTAAGAGTTTTTGTAAACTAGAGTTCCATGCCATCGTACATATTTCAACCACACTGTCTAAATTTAAAAAAATACATTTTATATATCACAGACAAAATTCATCAATATATTCTTCTTTAAAAAAAAAACCAAAAAACTCCTTTTTAAATTTAAATAACTGCTATCCTACCTGATCCCTTTTCTCCAGATGCAACCAGAAGAGGAGGCAAGCTGTCCTCATCATCAGGTAGAAGACTAATCTTATTGCAAACATTCTTGTCAATACCACACAATAATCTATAATCTGAAATACTAGCAACAGGTAAATTACTGTTAACCAAGACACCAGTAGGACTTGATAGGTCCTCAATTTCTGCAAAAACATCATCATCTAGTGTAAAAGAGCCAGAAGTAGGCAACCCCTCAGTCCCTGTGTTTGTAGGCAGTTTTTCCACAGATGGAACCTGAGAAATAGGACTTTGAATTATCTCATTTCTTATATCGCCTGCCTCACTGTTTGGTTTTTCCACAGTAGTAGAATGGGCATGATCCACTGTGTTTATCATCTGTAAAATATGGAAAACAAAAACCCAAATCAGTTCATAGTTTCTTTCTTCAGAAGCCAAATTTCCCAAGAAATAGTACCATTTTGGTTCTTTAAATTCAAGAGCACAGGTTTAGCTTTACTCTATGCTCAGGTAGGTATTTATGACTAATTTTATAGACTGGAAAAAGGAGGCAAGGAGAACTTCAGGATCCTATACCATACCACAAAGTGAGCACACTTAGTTCAACTCAAGGCACTCCTCCTAATAGACAAAAAAGCCTGGCTGGGGGGTGGCAAGGGAGAGGAAAAAGGGATAAGGCAGGGAGGGGAGTGGTTAGGAAGCAAAATGGTAGACATACTCCACAACAGTAACCACCTAGAATAAACTACACCTCAAGTCTGCTTCAAGTAAGCCCCTTTCTTTTTGGACAGGCCAAACCTAAGTCAATAGAGAATTGTTTATGAACTCAAGTAATACTAGCCTCTATAGAAATCCCATTTTGTTAAAATATTGATTGAGGGTAGGTGCTAGCTAAGAAACATACTTCTGGTAATTAGAGCTACTTGTAAAACCTAGCTCATGGACTCTTACTGACAAACAACATAAGTTTATATGATACGTGAACTTGAAGAGAGCAGGATACACATCCATCTTGTCTGATGTATCTTTACCCAAGATAAACCAGGTAACTGGCTCAGAGGAGATGCTCAATATATATTTGTTTAATGAATAAAAAAGCATTCCTACTTCATGTGTTAATACTTGCTTTTATGAGTATTTTGCTACTTTACAATGAGAGTTATTAGTGGGCTGGGATTCTATATTATGTATCTTCTATTTAACCCCTAGCACATTTGTATAAACATAAATACTACCATCAGGTACTTTACTGAATATTTGAAAATCATTAAACAAATTAGTCTAAATTAACTTACTAAATCTCAGTTCTATTTCCCCATACCAGTGGTTCTCAAAATGTGGTCCAGGGATCTCTGGGGTCCCCAAGACCCTTTCAGGAAGTCAGTGAGGTCCTAGGATTTTCTTCATATAATTTAACTAAAACATATCACAACAGACTGACTTTAGAAGTAGATGTGAGAATCTATCTTCTATTAAGCCAGACGTTAAAGAAATTCACAAAAATGTAAAACAATGTTATTCCTCTCACTAAACTTTTGTTTCAAAAACTTTTCATTAAAAATATTATTTCTATTAATTTAATGAGTTTATTTTTAATTAATTTTTTAAATGTTAGTCAATTTTATATCAGTAATTATCAATAAACATAACCCACATAACCTATAATTCTTTGGGGTTCTCAATAACTTTTAAGAGCATAAAGGGTCCTTAGATCAAAAAGTTTAAGAATCACTGCCTTAAACTGACGTTAAAAAAAGGTAAAATCTAAAATATATTCATACAAGTTTCTCATTTTATGAAGCTCAAAGCATTTAAAAAAAAAAGTACTCTAAAACATCACACAAGGAATTACTTACAAAATAAAATTTTATTAAATTAACAAGTCATTCTTTAGATTCCTTACCAGTGGCACATCAGGTAAGAGAGGACTAAAGTCTTCAGAACATCTTTTACTTCCAGATGATAATTTTGTTGTATCTGCAACTTCGCCATTGGGCAATATACCATCTGCAAACCATACTCTCTTCTGTTCTTTGGAGCATAATCCTAGAATCAGTTTAAAAAGTAAAGCATTTTAATTTGATAATATTGCAATGATTTAATACTAAATGGGTCAGGAAACATTTTCAAAAGCTTTTTGCTAACCATTGGCAAGCCCTGCATTCTCAGGGTTTCAAGGCCTAGAGAAATGGCCTTTTGTGATTCATCTACCCAGAGTAGAAGTTTTTTTCTAATTCATACAAAGGCAGGGCTGGCCCTACGAATCCCGTACTCAGAAAAAGAGTGGACAGGAGAGGTTATACCTTAAAGACGTTGAAGGCAGATTTAAAGCCTATATTATTAAGGCTAACTTTGTGAGTGTGGAATAAAATTTAGGGACTAAGGCACAGGGAGGGAAAATGGAACAGAACAGAGCATGGTAGACAAGCAAAGGGAAAAAAGTATGAAGAACAAGAGAAAGAAGCATAAAAAGTCTAAAGAAAGAAACAGAATCACTTGTGCATCAGAGGTCGTTTCCTACTTTTAACTTACTTAACAAGAGAAGCATAACATGCTTTGTTCTTACAATGTTGATATTGAAATTTATTAATATTTTCCTTTCAAATTTGGAGGAAATAACTAGATGTCAGCATAAATATTTGTTCTCTTTTATTAAAAAGCATCCACGGAGGAAGGTTATGAAAATTCCTGCCAGATGATTTTAGAACATATAAACATCAAAAGGACCAACATCTACCTTCCATATCATAATACAGATAACACTGAAAAAATTGGAATCATATATGTATAATTTTTGCAACATGGGTGGACATATTAAATAAGGTTATCTTTCTTGTATTTGCAATACTTTATAATTTAATGACTTAAGAAGTCAATAAAGAGAATAAATATTTTTAAAAGCAGATTCATTCATCTTTAGAGGTATAATATATAACCATATATGCTGAAACTCATTATTTAAGTCATAATGAGAAACAGAAAATAGCTATTAAGTGAGAAATAATTGAGATCAAAAATAGTTGACAGAAATACTTGAATTTGTCTCTAACTGACAATTAGTTATTTTCTAGCATGTTACAGACTAATAGTTTATTTTTAAGAGTGTACACAGGCTTACTGAATAGCACAGGGAACTATCCTCAATATCTTGTAATAACCTATATGGGAAAAGAATCTGAAAAAGAATATATATATATATATATGTATATGTATAACTGAATCACTGAGCTGTACACCTGAAACTAACACAACATTGTAAATCAACTATACTTCAATTTTAAACATTAAAAAAATAAATAAAAAGTCTACACAGGCTTTACTCAAGATCCTAAACTACAATAGGCTGTAAAAAAACAGAGAGCCCAAAGATTTTTTAAATGTTTAGAAGTTTGTTAAAAGATTTAAGAAACATTTTTTATTATGGTAAAATATACATTTAAAAATAGATTTTTAAGGAAAGGGAGACATGCCAGTTATTTACCTATTGTCTCTCAAACCCAAGCCCACCCTTCCACATGGTGCTCTTTGATGACAGGCTGGAAGTCTGGAAAGTGCAACTCCCAGACCCCCTTGCTAGTTGGTTCTGGTATGTTCCAGCAATGACAGGCTCTGGTTGGAGACTGGAAGGTGGGAACAGAAGGAAATCTTTCTGTTTCTAGTTCCTGCCAGGACTTACGCAGCAGCGGCACCACCAGATATACCCACATGTCCTGTGATCTTCAGTACTCCTTACATCAAGCCTGAGACACTCCTTCTGTTATCTGAACACCAACCCTGTTAGGCTCCTTGATGGTCCCAGCATTTGCCACTTGGTGTTCCTCTAGAAGTCACAGTACCAGTCATGTGACATGGTACCCTAATCCCTGAATACTAGGTCTGAGAACCAAGCATCTCTTGGTGTTCCTGCACGGGGTTCTAGTAATACTGGCTCTCCCTTTGCATTCTCCCAACCCTAGGGATGGTGGTTGCTTCCTGTACTTACTAATCTCTGAGTCACTTGAGCACGCCCTTTTTGTTCTTCTACCCTTCTAACGTATATGTATAACCAGTTCCCTGTATTAAATTCCTTCTGGTAGCTAGTCTGGTTTCTCTTTTCTCACTAGATCCTGTCAATACTAGAAAACTTCTACTTTGATCATTTATCTTTAATATTAGACACAACATTTTCTTCAAGTTACCTTCAACACTTGGTTGTTTAAGTGCTGAGATTGGTAAAGTTGTAGGTGAAGATATACTGGATGTTTGAGTCTCCTGAAGAGGCTGGATGGTGGCACAGTCATCAGAATGATTAGATTTAAGATTAGAACCAGTTGGACTCATCATCCTTTCAAATGCCTGAGCTATAAAGGGAAAAAAACTTGATCTCAGGTGTTTTTGACCTTCAAAGTAAATTATGATAAATATTCTATTTTTCAAATTGTAAGAAGAAAGAAATTAATGGCTAACTAAGAAGTGGCACTTGGCAAAGATAATATCCTTACTTTTAGTTGGCAGCACTCCACTTCAGTATAAGCTACCAATTAGTTATTTCAATATAATTTTGGCATATATTTGATATCTACTAAAGAAAATCATTGTTATTTAATATGACCATCTGATTTTGCCCTGTACTCCTATAGTCTATTTCCAATATAGTTCCTAGTGATTCTTCTAAGACATAAATCATATCACATCATTCTTCTGTTTAAAATCTTTTAATGGCTTCCGAAGTAGAATGAAAATTTAAGTTGTTACAATGGCCCACAAGACCCTATATAGTCTGCATTTCTACCTCCTCTGCTTTCCCAGTTAGCTGTCTGACATCATTTCTCACTAAAATCCTACTTGCTCATTAGAATCCAGCCATTGAGGCCTCCTTGTTCTTCAACAAGGGAAGCAAGCACTGTTCTAGCTTCAGGTCTTTGCTCTTACTATTCTTTCTGCCTGGAAAGTTCTTCCACGTGGCTTTATTCTCTCACTTCCTTCAGGTCTCTGCTTACACATCATACTATCATAAACCCTTATTCTGACCACCATTTAAAATTTCTACCTCTTGCCACCAGTCTGTTACTATCTGTCCCTCTTATACTCTTTTATTTTCATTTAGAATATTATCACCATCTGATATTCTCTTTGCTTTCTGTCCACATCTCCTGACATTCATAAGGTCCATGAGATCAAAAGCTCCATAAGAACAGGGAATATATTTTGTTCTCAGCTGGAGCTGCAAAGCACAGAACACTGCCTGAATACTGCTGAATGATTTTTTCATCCAAATAACACGGAACAGCACTGGTACCTCTCCCTTCAGCACTTCTCCAAACTGATCTGCTATAAATGCTGCCACTATTACAATAACTTTCCTCAAGTGCCAATGAATTAGCACCCTCATGCAATGGCTTCCGCTAACCAAGTAAAATCCAAACACAGTACTTTGAGTTTCAAAGTAATTTCCAACTTCCTCTAAGTTTATGTAATGGCACTCACACGCATGCTTCTTTAAAACTTATACAGTCTCAGCACAACTTCCTCATTATCCACAATCTCTGATGAAACTATCTTTTCTTCTTTGTGGAATTTGTCTTACAACCCTTGAGCCACCTTTCTCCTCTTATTAGTAACATTATTTTAAATGATCATGTCTACTGTTTTCAACCCTAAAGTTGGAGTTAAAATAACTTTTATTTACGTTTTCCTGTGGTGTACAAATTAATGATAAACAGAGCCATAAATGAAATTGCATGCTATAAGATATCAAAACAGAATAGATAAAACAGATAACTAAATAAATCCATTCCAAATATTTTCTTTGATAAACCAATGCTTGATCTCACTATCCTACTAAGTCTCTTCAGTGACTAAATCTTCTCCTCTCCTGGATCCTTATGGTCAATATGTTTTAATGTTCACCTAAAAATCTGACCTGTCAACTCAAATAATGTTTCAAATCTTCATGGCTGTTTTATTTTTTAAATGGGGAGAGATAATTATGTGGGAGCTTGCTCTAAGATTTCTTAACTCTAGCAGGTTGCTTGGCTAACGGCACCAGCAGTAGTCTTAAAGGCTACTGAAACAGCATAAGCAAAAAACAAAACAACTACAAGCACTTAAATTCTTCATAAACACTGGTGGCAATATGGAAATACAAGAAGATTTACACTCTATTATCTTCCAGAGCAGAGGTCAACAGCAGGGAGTAAAGCAGCTTACCTCAGGCTAACAGACTCACATCAGAGCTTTTTGAAGAATTGCTGAAAAAATTTATCTTCATTCAAAAGAGAAAAACAAATTATTATCAGGTATTTATTCTCCTGGCTAACAGGAAGCAGCACCTGGGCTAGCGCACAGGCCTGGTCTTAAAAGTCCCAAGTAATATTTGCTGGGAATTAAACTGTCAACAAATCTTTGAAAATGCCAAGAAGTACTCAAAAGAACAAACGTGTATTTGAAGAAAAACACACACACACACACAAAACTGTGAGAAGTCAAGTAAGATTATTGCTGATAACAGTAAGCTAGCTAGGGAGCCAGAGAAACAATGGGAAACACAAACAAAATTCTAAAACTGAGAAGGGAAAAAAATATATAAAAGACAAAAATGTGCAAATAGTGTGACAGTCCTATGAATTTATATAAAAATTATAAATATTATACTTTATCTTTTATTCCCACTTTAGGTTGTAATTTTCTATAAGGTGGGAACTATTATCTTGCCTTATGCTATTAATATGTAAGACTGTATACTATTTATTGGTAGATATTCTATAAATGTTTAGATTAAGATGATGAGGATGACAATGATGGTGACAAAAACAAATAGGCAGATGAAATGCAGCATTTAGGGACTTGGTACCTGTTAAAAGTTAATGAACTGCCACTCCAGAAACTGAACGCTTCCTTTCCACACTGGTAGTAATAATTGTGAGAGTAGAACAAAAAGAAGAGAAACCAAGCCTTGGGATGTCCCACCTAAGCCAGATAAGTCAACACTAGGTCCCTGCCTTAAGAAAATAAAGAAGTTTATCTTTGTCACAATCCAGTTGTTTTTAAGATATATTCAATTACTGGAAGAAGATATGTCAGGGTAATACTCACCTTTACTAATAGTCTCATAGCAGACTACACATACTCTTGCTTCCTTTTCTAGATACTGCAATTTACACTTCCTATTACAACAGACACCGCAAAATACCTACAAAGGACAAAATATCAAATTTGATTTTGTTTCAAGCATGTTTATACCAACTGGAGGCAGGGGGAGGAGAGACCCGAACTCTAACCAAAAACCATTTTTCTGATTACATAAACAAGTTTTCTAATCACCATAATCATAGGTAATTATTAAATGATTCTTTTTATTTTTATTATTTTACTTAAATGAGGTTTCTGTAATTTAAAATTGTATCTCTGATGAGAATTCCTTTAAATCAATTATGTTAATTGGAAGGGAATAAAAACTTTCTTAATGAATAAGTTCATAACTTAAAAAGCTTTCTGTGGTCCTTTACAACTTTTTTTTTTTTTTTTTTTAACTTTTTGGCCGCGCTACGCTGCATGCGGGATCTTATTAGTTCCCCGACCAGGGATCGAACCTGTGCCCCCTGCAGTAGAAGCACAAAGTCTTAACCACTGGACCACCAGGGAAGTCCCCCTCCTTTACAACTTTTAAAAGGAGAATGTTATTCAAAGGGGAAACAGACTCACAGATATAGAGAACAAACTAGTGGTTACCATCGGGAGGAGGAAAGTGGGGAAGGGCAAGAAAGGGGTAGAGGATTAAAAGGTACAAACTACTAAATATAAAATAAATAAGCTACAAGGATACATTCTACAGCACAGGGAATATAGCCAGTATTTTATAAGAACTACAAATGGAGTATAATCTTTAAAAAGTGTGAACCACTATGTTCGATACCTGAAACTTTCATAATATTGTAAATCAACTATACTCAATTAAAAAAAAAAGAAAAACAAGTAGAATGTTATTTTTCTAAAAGAGAGTAGGGTTGATCTGAGACTAACATATTACTGGAAAATGCTGAAAAAAATGCAATGTTATTTCTAGAGGCAACTCTTGAGTCCGTAGACTATTAAGGTAGTCAGAACACAAATGAGGTCACAGCTTCAGCGTTCTGAACCTTGTGCAAGCCAATCTGCTTTTTTTCTCAGTGTTTATCTCAAGTATCGAGCATAACACTAGCTGCAGAGTAGTCTTGAAATTAAGTATTCAAGGATAAACTGGAAGCTGACTGAATTCCGTGCATCTGACGTGTTCATGTTAGAGAGAGAATGAAACGTATTCTTAGATTTCACAAAAATTAGTGTTCCTCATTTCCCAGTATGTAATACCCATGACAATGTGACATTTATTCAAACCTCAAGCAATCTGTAAAATGACAGTGCTTTATACACTTCCACGTAGGTGAAAAACGATGATTTTAAACTAACTGAATCTTGTAATCATCTCTTTATCAGCTTTTTTGTCACATTAAATTTCATTTAAAATGTCCCAAAAGAATAAAAGACAAAGATTTTTATAGCTTACTTTTCCACATGCTCTGCAGTGATGTCGCCGTTTCGTAAAAGTAAATTTGACTTGGCAGTTCATACAATTTGGAGCTTCTGAATCAGGAACCCAAGTAGGTTGTTTCTGGCCCAAAACAAGGCCTTCTTTGCAAGTGTTTGCAGGCAGAGATTCTTCATTTGCAGTTACAAAACTGGATCCACCTTCAAAATTACTTTCTATATCAATGTAATTAGAATTGAAGCTAACCTGAGGATCAGTCACAGAATCTGTAGCACAGGTGGTTGGAACAATGGTATTTGCTATTCTGGGTTCACTTTCAGGCATATTTGGAACATCCAGCTTATTTGGTTCCTTTGAACTCCTTGTTCTTGATGGAACACTAAACAGTTGCTTAGGTCTGGCGCCTCCGACATGAACAGATTGACTGTTACTATCAGAGACTGATAATTCATTTGTAATCTCAGACTTACTGCTAGATAACACTTGTTCAACTGGAATTGCACTTTTTTCCCCTAAAGAAAGGCTACCATTTTCTGTTGTATTCTGTTTATCAACCGTTTCGCAAATCATATTAATACCAGGACTTTCCCCAGTAGCTCCTGCTTCAGCATTGAAATATATATTGTCGACATTTCCATCATCTGGGCCTTTCATATCTATCTGATTCATCTGAGATTTTGAGTCAGTTACATTTTCTTCAAATGGTTTTATGTTACTAGGCTGAAGATACTGTTCAGTTAGAAAGGCATCAAGTTCAGCATCACTAACTGGTGCACCACTTTTCATGCCTTCATCAATATTAAAGTAATCCAAATCTTGTCCACTGATATCATTGCTTGAAAAAGTGAAACCTTCACAACAATCAGGAGATTCTGGGGCATTAGCACCAGAAAGCTCTATTTGAGATTCTGCAGCTGTAGAAGAACTGGTGTTATCAGGGTAATCCAAAGACTCAACTCTAACTACCATCTGGTTAGAATCTGCCTTTCTATCTCCCATCTTTTCAATTAATGGCTGATGAGGTATGTTTTTACATTTTTCCTGTTTCAAAAGATCATTCTCCTTCAAAGGTTCCCCACCTGAAGTCATATTCTTCTGTATTTCTTCATGCACAGTCACTGCATCTTTTATATTATCTTTATATTCATGCTGGGGTAAACAATCACCATGAGCTTTATCTTCAATTAATGATCCACACAAAGACCCAGGTACTGGAAGACAGGACAATGAGGAATATGTATTTTCACTTGAAACATGTAAAGTTGAAGCAGAATCTTGGATTTCATCCTTATTATCTTTAAGACCTAAATTTCTTGAGTCTTCTTTTGCAGATTGTTTTATAAATATAGCAGTCCTATCTTCCTGAAAGGAAAAGTCAGGTAACTTGAAATTTTCATCTCTTAAATTTGAATCATTTAAGCATAAACCTCCATTTTTTGGAAGACTGCAAGACAAAGCACTTGTGCTGCCTCCTTCTTTTAAACATTCTGGGGCAGCTATGACTGGCACATCTACCTCCTCTTTTACCAAACAGCCATCAGCTTTTACTAATTCACATGGCTGGTTCTTGTCCTGTAGGTGGTCTTTGGCATCAAACATTTTGGAACTTTGTTGAGTCAAAGCAGATGGCATGTTGAAATCAACAACTGGTTCTAACTGATTAGAGATCTTTTTATCCTCTAAATTTTCTTTTCCGCTGTAATTACACGAATCTGAAAGTGTCGTATCTACTTTTATACCAAATTCTTTAGTTCCACTGATTTCTCTGTTTTGTAATTCAGAACTGACATCATTCTGTTCCTCTCTGACTGTATTATTACCATGGTCTGTTGAAGAAATACAGAAAGTTTCTGACACTGAAGATAAATCCAATCCAATCAAGGAATCTGCACTAGACTTAAAATCATCTGGCAATAATTTTTTAATATCTTCTTCACTATTAGTTACATGAACTAAGTTACCCATGTCACTTATCAGATCACAGACAGGTTTACTACATCGTCCCATATATAGAGGCTGGATTTCATCTGAAGTGCCACCATCCACAGAAGAAAGGAGATCAAGCCCTGTTACATTTTTTTCATTTTGTATAGAAGTTTGTCCCTCAAGTGTTTTTTCATTCAGGGCAATTTGATTTGTTTCATAGCCTGTTTCTGATGAGGCACAACAATTAATGCATTGTTGATCCTTTGGTAGCAGTGAAGTTAGCTGTGAGGAAGCCAACTCTGAAGAGACTGAATAGTGGTTAGAATCATATGAATTTTGTGCATCTTGGAGATAATCTTGTTCATCTAATTAAAATAGAAATATAATGTTAGTCAGGAGACCCAAATCAAAATTATTACAAAGACGTTATGGTTTCTACGACTTTTAAACTTTTTTTTAGACCAGAAATATATTACTCTCCTGCAAAATAGTAATAACCTCCAAAATTATTTTCACTTGGATTTAAACTACTTGGGGTTTTTACTTTTTAATGTAGATGTCATAATATGATAGAAATTCTACTCAAAATAACTCAGTTGCACTATAAAAACCAGACGAAGGAAGAGCTGAAAAACAATCTAACTTCTTTGTTCTGCCCTCCAGTTTCCTAGTCTTCATCCTAAGATGAGGAAAATACTATCTTTCATAGTAATGAAATACCAATTAATATAGAACTTTCAGGTTGCTTTCAGCTGGTTCGTATGTTGTTTTTAAAGGTCTTTCTTTTACCTAAACGTGTATCTGGAGAGAAACTTCTACCTTTCTTACTTCTATTTCTGGCTATTGGTTCTATTCAGTATAAGAATACACTAATTCGTTATAATAAGTGAATGTTTTACAGAAGATAACCATGTGACCAAAATTGAAACCAAGTTTTGCTAAGAGTACTAATTACGGACATTTTAAAATTACATTAATGGTAAAAATGAAAAACTGACAAACCTGGATTCTGTTCAAAATCATCGAGGAGTTTATCCAAGTCACTGACTGCTGCTTTAAAATAACTGTCCATCCTACTTGTAGACTTACTCAGAATTTAATTCTTGTGTGCCTAGAAAATACGAAGTATGATAGTTCATTTAATTCTCTGACATATAAATATTATACCATGTACTGCATGCCAAGAAACAGAGGCAGGGAATAGACACAAATAAAATTTAAGAGTATTGCTTTGAAGAATCTGTAATTTAGTTGGGGAAATTCCTCTATATATACAAAAATGACATGAAAACAAACTCTAACAACATAACATGCATACATAAACTATTTAAAATTTAAAACACTTATCTAAATAACTCATGGGTCAAAGAATGCATAGTTGAAAGCTATAAATAGTTGTAAGTACCATGTATCAAATAATATAAAATATACTACACACAAATAAAAATACTGCATGTAAAAACTTGCGAGATTCAGCAAAAGTGAATACTTAAAGACAGATACCTAGAGACTTAAATGCTTATACTAGAAAAAAAAGAATGAAAACAAATAAGCTAACAGCAGAAATTAAAGAAATAGAAAACAAGCATATGAGAGAGGTACAAGAAAACTAAAAGTTAGTTTTATGAATAAAGTAGAAGAACCTCTGATCTGTGGCAGGAGCTCCATCAAATAAGCCTGAGACACCTTGAAGGAATCTATCAATGACTAATGGGACAATATAAAAAGGACACAGGAGCTAAGTATCACTGGCTTAAATGGGACAAATGAACCTCAAATAAATGAAGACTACAAAGGACTGACCACAAATCAAATGGATTAAAAAAGACAAACAAACCAAGAGATCATAATGATACTAAAAACAAAACCAAAAACCACCACTCATTAGAGAGTTGCTAGGGCAGTAACCCTTTACTCTGAAAATTGATATACTAAGAGAAAAGAACTATGAATTTATCCTGCCCTTTATTTACAAAATGTACTTTAGGATAAGAAAACAGTTGGTGAGGAAGAATTCTTTAGATAAGAATTCCAGTTGATAAATGCAGAAAGATATTAAAATTTTTTAAATCATTTCTTCATAGTCCCTAAAACAATAAATGGACTACGCAATGGCTATCAATGGATGTTAAAACTGTTAGATGAAAGGTTGAGGGGAACTTTATAATGGTGGGATCAGGCCAACACATCTAAATCCAGTGACCAATTTCACCATCAATTAATGTGGAAGACATAGAATCACATACAAAATATTCCTGCCCAAAAAAACAAACAAAAAAACCCACAAAAAACCCCAAAAAACCTGAATCCAAATCTAATCAAGTTGTTAGCACTAACTGCATATTTACAGGAAATTCAAGGATAGAGGGACAAGTTAAATGATATCAAAAGAAAGCAATTGGCTAAATCCAGAAGGGGGAACACTTTTCAGCAATGTTCCTCAAACAGTTGATAGTGAATGACTTTTTTTTTTAAACTTCCAGTCTGTTACAAACTGTTACTTTTGTAAAACACAATAAAACAATACAAATTTTGCAATAATATACAAACAAAAAGATATAGATTATTAAACACATTTGAATGGTGCCCTGAGTAAGGAATAGGAGTGGGAAATGAAGGATAAAAGACAATAAACTACTGAAAGGGCTTTACTAGAGCCACTTATGATGGTCACCATGAACTGAGGACACATGAGGCTCAGAAAAAATGAGAGATACTTTAAAGATGGGTTAAAAAAATTATATAGAGCTTAAGAGAATTGAACAAACAGGAAGACCTATCTGAAGAAATAACCTAAAATGTAGCCCAGAGAGATGAGGAAGAAGAAAATATGAAAAAAGAAGTTAAAAAACATGGATGACAGAATGAGAATGGAGCCCCGTAAGGAGAACAGAGCATGGAACAAGTATGCTTGAAAAGATAATGCCAGGAATTCCAGAACTGATGAAAAACACAACAGATATAGGTAACCCATTACCAAGCAATATAAATACAGTTGACCCTTGAACTACATGGCTTTGAACTGCACAGCTCACTTATCTGCATATTTTTTTCAATAGTAAATACTGCAATACTCCACAGAGTTGGTTGAATCATGGATATGCAGGAACCATGGATACGGAGGGCTGACTATAGGTTGTATGTGAATTTTTGACTTGCAGAGAATCGGCACCCCAACCCTCACATGGTTCAATGGTCGACTGTAAAGAGAAGTCCACAGTTAGATACTCTACAGTGAAACTTTTGAACTCCAAGATAGAATAGCCAGAGAGAGAATGTCATCTTCAAAGAAACAATAATTACGCTAGCACAAGGTAAACTTCAGAACAATTCTCATTAACAATGGTATGCCATCCTATTCATTAAAGCATATTATTCTTTTATTTCCATTTTAAAATTTTATTTATACCATACATATACAAAAGTACATGAAAACACACAGGCACCAAAACAAATAAAAGGAACTTGGAGGAAGAGACAATATAGGAAGAAGAAAACGTCAAAGAAACTAATATTCTCAGAAAAAAAAACCAATGCGACTATGAAACAGCAACAGGAAGCCATACGTAAAGAATATGTGAAGAAAAAAGATCATGAAAATTGACAACACAAATCTTAAAATTCAACCGAGGCTTACAGAATGTAGTAAAAGCAGTGCTTAAAGGGGCACTTACAGCATTAAGTGCATATATTAAAAAAGAAAGATCTAAGAATCCATAATCTAAGCTTCCACCTTGGGAAATTAGAAAAAGAACAACTTAAGCCCAAAGTAGGTAGAAGGAAAGGTAACAAAGATCAGAGCAGAAATCAATGAAATTAAAAACAGGAAAATAGAGAAATGGAGAAAAACCACTGAAACCAAAAACTTTCTTTGAAAAAAGTAAAATTGATAAACTAGGCTAATTAAAATAAAAGAGAGACACAAATAACCAATATCGGAAGTGAAAGAGGGGTCATAACTATTGATACCATGGACACTTAAAGGAAAATAAAGCAATATTATGAACAATTCTATGCCCCCAAACTTGATCATTTTGATGAAATGGACTAATTCCTTGAAAAACACAAACTACCAAAATCCACACAAGGAAAAACAGACAACCTGAACAGTCTGTTTTAACAAAACTGAATCAATAATTAATAACCCTCCACAAAAAAAGTCATCAGGTCTAGATAGCTTCACTGGTGAATTTTACCAAATATTTAATGAAGAAATGATCCAAATCTTCCACAGTCTCCTCCAGAAAAAAAGAAGCACAGGGAACACTTCCTAACTCATTCTATAAGACCAGCATTACTCTAATACCAAAATCAGATAAACACATTACAAGAAAGAAAAATTACAGACCAATGTAACTTATGAACACAGAAGTAAAAACCCACAACAAAATATTAGCAAATCGAATCCAGTGATGTATAAACAAAATTATACACAACAACCAAGTGGGATTTATTCAGGTATGCAAGGCGGGTTCAACATTTGAAGATTAATCAATGTAATATACCACATCAACAGACTAAAGAAAAATTATCATATAATCATATGAACTGATGCAAAAGAAAAAGCATTTGACAAGACCCAATACTTACTCATGATAAAAGCTCTCAGCAAATTATGAGTAGAGGAGAACTTCTTCAGTTTGATGAAGAATATCCACAAAATACCTACAGCTACCCTTACACAATATATTTAGTGATGAGACACTAGATGCCCTACCCCCAAAGACTGGGATCAAGGAAAGGATGTCTTCTCTCACCACTCCTATTGCACATAGTACGGAAACCCTCACTAGTGTAATAAGAAAAGGAAATAAAAGGTACACTGTTTGGAAAGGAAGAAATAAAAATGTCTTTATTTGTGATGACATGATTTTCAATGTAGAAAATCTCCCCAAACTGACCCCCCAATATGGAAAAGTGAGTGTAATAGCAAGGATGCAGGATACAAGGTTAATATACAAAAGTCAAATGCTTCCTATATGAGCAAGGAACAGTTGGAATTTGAAATTTTAAAGAACAGCTTTTACAATATACCTCAAAAATTAAATGCCTAGATATAAGTATAAAATATATACAGGACCTATATGTGGAAAACTACAAAATGCTGACAAAAAATCAAAGAAGATCTAAATAAATGGAGATATAGTCCATGTTCATGGACAAGGAGACAATACTGTTAAGATGTTAGTTCTTCCAACCTGATCTGTAGACTCAGTGCAATCCCAATCAAAATCCCAGAAAACTATTTTGTAGAACTCAGGAAACTGATTCTAAAGTGTATATGGAAAGGCAAAGGACCTATAACAGTCAACACAATACAGGATACCTTGAAGATATTGTAGGTTTGGTTCCAGACCAGTGAATATCACAATAAAGTGAGTTGCACAAATTTCTTGGTTTCCCAGTGCACATAAAAGTTATATGGCATTTGTCCAAATGATTTAAAGATTTACACTATACTGTAGTTTATTGTGTGCAATACTATTATGTATAAGAAAACCAATGTACACACCTCAATTAAAAAATTCTTTATGCTAAAAATGCTAATCGTCATCTAGGCCCTCAGCAAGTTATAGTAGTAACATCAAAGATCACTGATCCCAGATCACCATAACAAATATAATAATAATGAAAAGTATGAAATACTGCAAGAATTACACCTTACATAAGAATGTATTTTAAATGGATAATAGAGGGGGAGTGGCTAAGACAGAGGAATAGGAAGACCTTGAGCTCACCTCCTCCCGTGGGCACACCAAAATTACTACTTAAAGAGCAACTATTGATGAGAACTAGCAGAAATGATCTTCTACAACTTAATATAAAGAAGGGACCCCAACAAGATGGGGAGGAGAGGTGGAAACATGGTACAGTCAAGACACATACCCTTGGGTGGGTGATCCATAAGCAGCAGGGTAATTACAACTGCAGAGGTTCTCCCCAAGGAACAAGGGGCCTGAGCTCCATGTCAGGTTCCCCAGCCTGGGGGTCCTACACCAGGAGAATGAGCCTCCTAAAACATTAGGCTTTGGGCTTACATTCAGGATAGCCAGAGGGCTGGGGGAAATAGAGCCTTCACTCTTAAAAGTGTGCACACCAAATCACACATGC